GATGATGATGAAGGAGGAGGAAGAGGAAGAGAAGAAGAAGGAGAAGGGGAAGGGAGAAAGGGAAGAGAAGGGAAGAGGGGAGGGGAGGAGAGAAAAGCAGAGAAGAAGAAGAAGAGAGAGAGAGGTACGGAATTGAAAAAGGCAGAATTTAAAGAGGATTAGGTGGGAAATGAGAAGAAAAAGGAAAGAAGGAAGGAGAGAAGGAAAGAAAGAGGGAAGAAAGGAGAGAAGGAAGAGAGGGAGGGAAGGAGGAAAGGAAGAAGAAAAGGAAAGAAGGAAGGGAGGGAGGGAGGGAAAGAGAGACCCCGCAAAATGAGTGCCAAGGTGTTGCTTCCGTAGTCTCACGAACTTACACTGGGTATATTGTCGTTGGTACAGACCCCCTCTGACAGTAATCTGTCTCGGATTTCCCAAGCAAATATGGACGGGCACTCTCGTTTATACTGGGCTATTTTGCTGACAACTTCGGGAGTCGCTACCCTGGGTTTGCTACCTCCGATGGCTCTGGGCCTGATGGAGCCAGTCTCGTAATACCTGCCCAGAATCTTACTCACACATCCATTGGATACCTGCATAGGGGAAGCGGACAGAAAACCACATTATTAATAATTTCAAGACAAAAATAAAATTGTTTAAGTATGCATTAAACAAGGACAAGCTTACGTTTTGATTGTCCAGCACTTGGACTTTTGCATCTGCATGGGTCTATAACACAAAAATATACCTTCAATGGTATGAGAACTTACTTTAGAGAGGTTTTTTTTTTCTTAAAATTACATTTGTGGCCCCTAAACACTACAAATGTGATGATACTTCAAAACATCTGGAATTTTAAAAAACCAATTTGAAAAGGTTCTTTAAAAACAAAAACAGAACTATTCTATTCATCCCTGCTTGAAGATGAACAAAAACTAAATTAATCATCTTTGACTGAGTCTGCTTACAATCAATGTTTGTTTGTTAATGGCAAAAAGGGGGAAATAAACTGAAAATTGTTTATTGCGGTTTCCATAATGAACGTGCCCAGGAGGGATAACGGGATCGGGGGCCAAGCAGCTTTGTCTTTATAATCTAATAAATCTATATTTCGTAAATAATAAGTAAAGTTGAGGGCACACGAGAATCTTGGAATCCGAAGTGAATATAGGGAACAACTGAAATTATGTCAGTTTATATAATTCCGTTTATTACACTTCACTAACTGTAACGAGAATAAATCCTTTTACTAAATGAAAATAGATGGAATATTTTTTAAATAACTAAAGTTTTAAAAAAAAGCAGATGAATAATTGTATGTAACTGACCCAGGTTGAAAAGGTAGTCAGGGTGGGGTGGGTGAGGGAGACAGGAAAGGGGGGGGGGTGGAAGCAGGGTGGGGTACAGGGAGCAGGGGCAGGGGTCCGTAATTAAAGCTTTTACGGTAAAAGATGGAGAGAGTGCGTTCAGAGCGGTGGCCTTTGGAAGCAAGTGGGGAGGCGTAGCCGAGGATCACCTGCAGAATTCGGGAAATGTCACACGGCCGGGCCCCGCTGTGAGCTAGTTCCACGATCTTCTGGCGGGTGGAATCCGGCAGTGGCCGCCCGTTGACAAATACACCACCGAGCTGATTCACTCCACTGTGACCTAGGAGAAAGAAAGCAGAGAAAGAAAGAGGGACAGGGACAAGGAAGGGGAGAAAGGAAGAGAGGGAGGGAGAGAGAGAGGGAGAGAGGAAGGGAAGGGGGGGGGACAACAAAAAAAATAGCATCCTCAGCTACCTGCGGATCCATGACAACTTCAACCATCAGGTTGCTACTATTGATCAAGGATAACAGAAAAATGCATTCTCCCATCACATCCAATACAGTCATGCATCCAATAACAAATACTTCAGTCCTATCAAACCCCTTTGCAACTTCGTCTGGACTCTCAGGAAGACAATTTTCATTCATCACTGGTATTTTTCAGCCCAGAAAGTCGGAGACCGTCAAAGGAACAAGTCAGAACGTTCTGCCCACTTCACTCAAACCTCGAAACCCCAAGCACAGATAGGCATCCCAGGTGATCGCTCTCGAGATTCTGATCCCTAATTCCAAGATTGGATGGTCTATCCATCCATCTCTGGATTCCTGAAGACTGAGCACTCCATATAACCATGACAAAAAATAAATAAATAAAACTCCCCTCCGATCCTCCCTGTCTAGAAGTTCAAGTTATAAAATTCAACGTAATATTCTAAATATGTGAGGGGAGGTCATTTTTTTTTAATATAGAGAGAGGAGCGGAGTGAAGAAGAGAGGAGAAGAGAGGAGAGGAGAGGAGAAGAGAGGAGCACATTTTTTTTTTCCCAGATTACCACCCTCTCTCTCTAATCTGGGCACCAAACCTACAACCACCGAGCGGCCATTCCTCCTCAGCTCTTATCCTGCAGCCGAGACACAGGACCAAAACTATAACTGACCAAGGGCAGAGTTGTTGAGGTCCCTAGCTCTCCCCCAACCCGCCCCCCCCCCAAAGGTTCTAGAACCGAAAGGCGTCCAGAGACTGAGGAATTGTTTGGTTTGTAGCTGATACTTTAGCTGCTGCTGCTGCAGAGGCGCCCATCGCTACAGCTGTCCCAAAGGCAGAGGATAGAAAGAAAAGGATCAACCAGAGAAAAAGAAAGGAAAGAAAATGAAAAATTTTCCACGAAAAGTACCCTCTCCCCCTCCATTTAGCTGCCCCCTTACAGCCCAATAATACACACACATCCACTTCTTTTTCCGTTCTGCAGCCTCTACTCCACTTTCTGATCTGGAGAAACGTAGTGGCTTCCTATCTCCTGCTCTTACTCCCCAGGCACCCCAAAACAGCAAACCTTATTTGCAACCTCCTTAAAATCTCCAACCTGGAGCCCCGACTCTACAGAGAAGCTCTCCTAGGAGAAGCTCTGACTGTCTCTCTTCTCTCCTCTCCTCTCCTCTGCTCTCCTCTCCTCTCTTTGGAGCCTCCTGATAAATGGACTCCAGGAGCCTGGGCTTCTTAGCAATAAATAAGCTCTAAATATAGAAGAGGGGGGAAAATATGATGAGCCTCTCTGACATTTGTCTTTAAAATAAAACTAGCTGCACGTCAAGTTTGAGCTTAATTTCTGGAAATAGGCGGAAGTCGCTCCGGATCATGCATGGAAGGCTAATTGAAAAGATCAGTCGGAGCACTTGTGGCAGACCTGTCACTTTATGACAGTGCTCCGCTCCTGGAAATTGCATCGTCACGACAAATAGTACCATGATAAAACGACCCTTTCTGTCCCTATTTGGATATCACTCAGACGAGATGGGACTCTACTGGTTTCGCCTTCCAGGGGAGCCGCGTTCTAAGGGTAGCCACGGGCTCTGCGCGGACATAACCAAGGGGGTGCGCTCGCCACTCACTCGATGCGAAGTGACATGCAGTTTGACTGTTTGAACGTCGAGTCAGTTGGGCCCAACGCTAGAGCAATCTGTAATATTACACCCAGCCCAGGCCTAGAGAGGAACATTAGATTTTGTTTTTGCTGCCCCCCCCCCCCCCTTCCTGGCTTTACTCTGCTCCCAGCACTCATTATCTAAGGAGGACACTCGCTAAACCCTTCTCGGGGTATTGGGACCTTGGTCCCCGGTACCTTACATTTCCCCCCCCCCCCCGAAAATGAGATAAAGAGGT